TCTCCTACTCCTTTTGGTTCAGATCTGGTTCAGTTTATGGTTCAAGATTGATCCTTGAAAATATGATTTTCTAAATAGGGAATGCGATTCCCAGTTGAAAGGGAGAGAAAAATTTGTGCAATTCGCCCCTTTATTCCGCAAGATTTGAGCGTCCATACGGTGGATCTCTCATCCCTTCAGTTCTTTCATAAGATAAACCCATGTACACYTTGAGAAATGATCAATGAAACTAATAAAATAGTGATAGTCATCCATAGAAACAATAGTTGAAGGACCTCACACATCAAAGTGAACTAAATCAAAAAAGGTAGTGGCATTACTGATAGAACTTGGATAGTTTACCTTACAATGTTTTGCCAACTGGCACACATCACAAAATAGACTTTCAACAGACACATTTTTAAATAACACTGGTAACAAAACGTTTAACAATGGAAAAGACATATGACCTAGTCTAGCATGCCAAGTGAAAAGGATTGTGCTTGGCTCCTTACTGTTACCACTAGTAGAGGCCTTCAAAGTAGAGCATGTATCATCATCAAGGTAGTAGGGGCCACCAGCTTCATGACCACTCCCAATCATTTATCGTTTGCCTCGTCATCCGAACCTAAAAACACAATGAGTGGGAAAAAAGTTACCAACACAATCTAGGTTTTTGTTTATTTTTGAGCAAAAAGTAAAACAATGGTGAAATCTAGAAGATGTAGGGAAGATTTGAAGAGGATTCCCTTTCCAAGTTGAATGTCTCCCTTTCCAGAAACAATGGAAAGAGAGCCATCAGCAATTTTTACCTTATCATGCCCAGACGAGAGATTGTAAGAAGTGAATAAAGAGGATGAATTCGTCATGTGCTCAGAAGCTCCCAAGTCAATAACCCAAGAGTTTAATGAAGAGGACTGGATAGCACTAAGGGCAGATGTTATACTTGTCTTTGCAAATGAGGATGAAGCAATGGATGATTGCTTCAACTGAACCATAACCTAGTTGAGGATATCTACCTCTTCAACTGTAAATTCTGGGAAGCTATTTGGTGAAGTGGAGGTTTGTCTCAAGTTATAAGATCCAGTACTATTATCCTTAAAAACACCTTCTGAAACATTTAGGTTGGCTACATAACCTGAGTTGTAGTTAGGACCTTTGTCCAGCTTCTTTTCCTTCCTCAAGGTTGCTGGTTTCAAGTGCGGATGGAGAATCCAGCAAGTATCCTTAGTATACTTCTCTCCCCCACAATGAACACTTCAAGTTCTTCTTATCCACCCCTTTTCGACCCTTAGAACTGCCGGAAACAAGAGCATACTGCTCAGTAGGTTAAAGAGGAACACCAATTCCCATTTCTTTCCTCCTGATCTCTTCATTCCTAATTAGATAAAACACATGATGCAGATCTGGAAGTTCATCTCTCCCTAATAATTTGTGCTCTAATTTTTTCATGAGGAGTCTAAACCGGCTAGGAACTTGAATATTCTTTCTTCAGCGTGTCATGCCTTTCTTTGTCTTTGGTGCTGGCCCACTCTCAAGGACTAAATGATGATCAAGTTCTTCTCACAAGCCTTCTAGTGTATAGAAAAATAAGTTGCAACAGTCATGTCCCCTTGAGTCAAATTAAATATGTCTTGATTCAGCTTGTAAATCCTTGCTATGTTCTTCTTTTGACCATAAGTGCTGTACAGCTTTTCCCAAATCTTATGGGCTGATGTATAGTGTTGAACAATCCTTGCAATTTTGGGAGTCATAGAAGTTAGCAACCATTACATCATAGTTGTATTTTCCCTAAACCAAGTCCTATAACTTGTTTCATCTTCCTTGGACTCCTTAATCTTCCCCATCAATGTAGCCTTGCAGTCCATGGCTCACTATGGGCCACCTTGCTGAAATAACCCATTCCCTATAATTGTATTCATCTAGTTTCACATTAGTAATCTGTACCATAGGATTTCCAAGATGAATAATATTGTCCACAGTCATGAAACCTCCAGATGAGTCTTCACTCGTGCTGGAAGACATCTTGAACTCACTCACACTGATATTTAATTAGTAGAACAGGTTAAACAGCACCTCCCTGGATTGATTCTTTGCTCAAACTCCAAAAACTTGGGCTAGAGTACATATGGATCTCTTGGACTAATTCTTCTTGCAGTCCAGCRGCTAGACCTATTAACTAGGTCTCTCTAGTAATCCATACGACTACTCCACAGCTTCTTGCCCTATCTAGGCATACCAGCAACTATTTTGGGCCTCCTTGGAGATTTTTCCAAGGAAAGAACCCTAGAAACAGCTTCAACTAACCACAACCAGAAGTAGAGTTCTTTCTTGTTGCTCCAACAATAAAAAAAAAACTTAAGAAGAAAGAGGAGGTGAAGAAGGTAGGTGAGCAGAATAAGAACAGGTTATTGCTCTGATACCATGTTTGTATTCACACTCTTGAAGGAAAGAGAAAAGAAAGAAGAAAAAGAAGAAGAAGAGAGTTAAAGAATAAGACAAAACATATAAACCAGTCCATCAAAATGGTATTTGTATTAGGGCAGTATTAATACATGAGATGACAAATTTACCCCCCCCCCCATTAGTAAGTAGTAATGTAACTTAAAAATAAAAGAAGGCCCAGGCCCATTAACACCTAACAGTACACCCCAACAGAATAGAGAAGATATAACATAAATGGGCCGAAGCCCAGACTGTTAAGTCCCACGACAGTTAACATTTATGTAATCAGGAGTACTTAATGCACCCTATTACTAGAAAGCAGTGTTGTCAAACTTGTACCAGACCAGATGGTAGAACCAGTTCCACATAGATCAAAACAATTCACAATTAGTCATGTAGATTTTAAATTGATAGAGACAACCTTAATGTAAAAACTGCCTTCCAACAGTTTCTATAGCCATAGATAAAGTGATAAACTACAAACTCACACAAACATGATCATGCTACATTGTGTTGAAACAAAGTGCTTAAATCCATGATGACTGAACAGATTAACATGCATTCCTATCTGAAAAAAGTGTATGTTGAAAGTTTTATATGTTCACCTCTGCATCTCCTTTCTCATTTTCAGGCAAATGCTTTTTACTTGATTCAACATGCTGATTTATTCCTCCTGAGAAATTATCATTTTGGAAATTAGAGGTTGAACTTGAGCATTGAATTCCATGAGTAGGTACAGTTCTTGATAATGTCCGCTTTCGTACATATGTCTTAACCACTTTACTGTTTACCATTTCAGCCTTCAAGCATCCCTACACTCCCAAGTCCCAGTCCTGACACCCAGAAACATGTTTTAGCACAAGAGTGAACAAATGACATCTTAAACTTGATTCCAGAATTTCAGAGTAGCAGCTAAAGCAGAGTCTACATTTGACACAATCAACACATCCAAAACTGCAAAACCAGAGAAAGTTCTTTAAGAGTTAGAAATAGCTCCATCAAACAAGAAAAAGAAGTTAATAGCTCAAAAATATGTAGAGAAAGGATGCTACCAGCCCATCTTTTATTATGTAGTTACTTAGATGCAGGGGTAGAGTTATCTTTTTATCTTCTATCATGATTTTAATGATGTCACCCTAATATAAATAAGAAGGGTGCAACCAGCCCATCTTTTTGACCTCCAATCATTCAGTTCTGTCTCCCCTTGCTCCTTTTTATCACTGGATTATATGAGGTCAGAGCAGGATATCTGATCAATCTCACCTTTTCTATTTTCTTCTCTAATATTTATTCTTTTAGCTTCTGGGTACAAGAAACAGAATGAAGTTGATTTAAACCTTCATTCTTGCTGTTTCTTCCTTTTCCCTTTGGTCGTGGCATAAAGGAAATCATTTTGTCGTGAACAGTGACTTGTGATGGAACACTGAGATCATAGGAAGCTTTCCAGCATGCTTTCTCTGTGGATCCTGTGATCAATCTTCAGCAGAATGTGAACCACTGCAGGTAAGTATGCTGAATAGTTTTCTGGTGGTATGAGGAGTAGAATCACTCTGTTTAGAGGTGTTAGAAAGTGGTTTAGTCACTGCAAGAGTATAATCAGTTCTGTGGAGAGGGTAAGTCTGTTTATCACTTTTCTTGTTTATACAGTGGAGGAAAAGGAGTTTGACAATGACTGTTCTTACTTTCTGGGTAGTTGAACTCTACTCTTAATCTGTTCTTAGTTTTCCTTGTACCAACAGATCTGTTTTGGTGACAGTTTATCCCTTAGCTGTGGGTTTCCATTACTGCTAGGGGTTGTTTTGCTCTCTTTATTGAAGTATACTATATCCTATCGATGGCTACTAAAGATTCAGTAGCATTGGGGGTCACTACTTCGTCCATGGTTGGTAACAACATGGACAGCATGACTTTCTCCATTGCTATTGTTACATTTTATCCCTAGACCACTACCATGTAGTTAGGTAGGGACAATCAATCCGTAGTGACGGGAATCTAGGAATGAATGGGGATCCCTATCAATAAAAAAATGAAGAATATAGAATGCTGTCCCTATCTCTAAAGAGGGCCCAGTCTGTTTTGATTCCTTTTTGGGAGATCTTCGGATTATCTAGAATGGTCCAAGAGTGCTAAGTTGCTTGTTACTGCTGGGATAAGGCTGGTTACCTCATTGGAAAGGCTAAGTAGCCCAAAGAAGGCACTACAAAGAACGAGCAGTGGGATCAGGGAAACAGTTTAATAATGTTCTGGCTCCTAACCTCCATGCAGTGGGATCAGAGAAGAAAGGACCACTCTCAAAGAAGAACACATCCATAGAAACATAGTATTTTCTAGAAATGGGATCAAAACACTAGTAACCCTTTTGAGAAGAAGGATAGCCCAAGAACACACAGGGAATAGTACGAGGATCAAGCTTACCACGAGTAGAAGATAAGTCTTAAACAAAACAGCGACAACCAAACACACGGATAGGGATAGAAAACAAGGGAGCTTTGGGGAACAAAAGCTGATGAGGGGCCTTGTACCCTAACAAGCGAGATGGCATACAATTGATAAGGTAGAACATAATGCAGCATCCAACCAAAAGCGTTTTGGAACATTCATGTGTATGAGGAGTCCACGAGCAACTTCCAAGAGATAACAGTTCTTTCTTTCTGCAACACCATTATGTTGTGGTGTTCTGGCACAAGAACTGCAATGAATGGACCCACAAGAAGCAAAAAACTTCATGAGATCATGATGAAAGTACTCTTTAGCATTGTCGGATTGAAAATTTTGGATTTCCGTCTAAAATTGAATGAATATCATGCATTGGAAATCTTGAACAATTTTTGGCACCTCATCTCTAGACAGCATGGGATACACCCATGTGTATTTGGTGTAATCATCAATAAGTGTAATAAAGTATCAATGGTCAGTCTCAGATGGCAAGGTAACAGGGCCCCAAACATCAAAATAAACAATATATAAACAAAAATCAGATCTATTATTTCTTGAAGCAAAATGATTTTTACAATGTTTGCTCAACTAACAAGTTTGACATGTGAACTCAAACACTAACACTGACTTGAATAACTCTGGAAACAAAAACCTTAGTGACTCAAAAGATAAATGACACAACCTACTATGCCATAAATAAATTTGACTATTATTTGAATGACGCTTAGACTTAACAACTGCAAGGCTAGCTTTGTTCTCCAGCATGTAGAGACCATCCACCATACAACCTCTACCAATCATCTTCCTTGAGGCCAAATCCTAAATCACACAAGAAGAAGGAAAGAAGGTTACTAAACAGTTTAACGAATTTGTAATACTACTAACAAAAAATAAGTTTATAAGCATTTTTGGAACATGTAAGACCTTAGGAAGGGTAAGTCCAAAAGGAAGGGAGATGGTTCCTTGACCAGATATGGTAGAAAAAGAACCATCAGCTAGTCTCACCTTGTCCCTTCTAGATAATAGTTGATAGGATTGAAAGCAATTTGACTTACCAGTCATATGGTTCAAGGCTCCAGAATCTATTATCCAAAGGGAGTCTAAGGGTTGAGAGGACACATGGAAGCAGTGGCAAAATTACCATTACCTGATGTAGATGCAAAGGAAGTCGAAGGGGGTGGAGAAGAATCCAATTGGCGGATTTCCCTACCATACATCTCCAAATGGTCACGGAAAGAATTAATGATGTCTTCCCTGGGATCAGTCACGGAAGGGCAGTCCTGGCTCAAGGTAGTAATAGATGGTTGAGACTCCTCAGAGGCCAAGTTTGCTGCATTCAACTTCTTCTGACCTTGCTGTCCTGGTTTCTTATTTTGATTTGATTTTTTACTCAACTCTTGGGCCCACTTTGGCTTCCCATGAAGTTCCCAACATGTATCCCAAGTATGTCTAGACTTCTGACAATGATTGCACCATAACTTATCCTTGTCATCAACTTTCTTTTGGAAGTCACTCTTCTTAAAGGAATTACCACCTCCTGTAACTACACTCCCTTTAGCAGCTATGGCAATCTGCTCCCCCTCAGAATTATTCATCATATTCTCTCAGCTCTCTTCTGACTGTACTAGGGCATACACACTGATGGGAGGTCTTTATTTCCCAATATCTGAACCCTAATAGACTCATATGTAGGGTTCAGCCCCAAGAGGAAGACAAAAACCCGTTGCTGGGAAACCAGAGACTTGTAGGCCTTAGCATCTGCATCACATTTCTACTTTTCTAGTCTATGTTCTGATAATGGTATAGTTCTTTCCAAATTGAGGTTAAGTCTAAATAGTAAACAGAGAGATTCCTCTCCCCCTGCTTACAAGTTGAGGCTGCAGCTTGCAACTGATAGATTTTGGCATAATACCATTGTTCTGAATAAGTGGATTTAGCATGCTCCCAAATCTCATGAGCTATTTCTGCCCACATGAAGATCTTCCTTACTTGTGGCAACATAGACAATAATAGACATGACATCACCATACTATTTTCCTAGTCCCACCTATCATGTTCTACATCCCCAGACTTCGATTCTTTAACTTTACCATTAATATAACCCACTTTCCCCTTGCGGGTATGTAAATCTTATTTCCCCTTGACCATTCTAGATAATTGAGACCATCAAAAGGGATCACAGCCATGGGAAAACTCATGTCAAATCTTCCATTCAGTCCACTTTGACTGGAAGACACACCAACATACCAGAATCCTTAGAAGACATAGTACTTGTTCTCAGTTAAGTCACAGTTCAGTCAAGGTTTGTGTTCTTAGTTCAGCCACAGTTCAGTCACAATTCTGTGCTTGTTCTCACCCTACCAGCCTACTGAACCAGTTCCAGAGACAAAACAAATCAATTCCAGGTCTGAACAGTCCCTACAAGTAACACTTTACCAGATTTTGGCCACCCGACTACTGCAGTCTTTAACAAATAAGTAGAAAAACTGCTGTCACAGCAGTTCCAGTTCATTCAGACCTGAACAGCCCATCTTTCTGGGCACAAAACAGGATCACTCTATCCACACAAGCTGAGAAATCACCCTTTCACAACAGCCACAGGTCATTAGACCTACATAACCCACTTATCTGGGTACAAAAGGATCATTCAATCCATAGAAATTGAGAGAAAATAGGGAAAAACATCCTTACAGCATTTAGTCTCCCTTCCCTAGGTGTTTTCTTGGCCCACGACCAAGAGGGAAAGGGAAGAATTGCACAGATCTTTTCAGGTCAACCCAATGTACTCTTCCTTAGTTCGATCCACAAGAAACAGAGAAAACCAGAAAAACTGAGAAAAAAACTTGGTCAAACTGCTTCTAATCCCAAATCTGCCACTCTGATACCATGTTTTCTTGGTAAGTAAAAAAAAATCAGTAGTGATGCAACCGTTTCTGGTCACGTATCAATTTTTTTCGTGATGTGTCAATTTATTGGCTAAGTACCTCGTCATCTCGTTTGCTCCCATGTGGTCGGTGACTCAGAGGCTGAAGTGGAGCTCCCTGGTGGCGAGCTGCCTGGAGGTGAGCTACCTTGATGAGCTGCCTGGAGGTGAGCCACCTTGATGAGCTGCCTGGAGGTGAGCTACCTTGATGAGCTACCTGGCGGTGAGCTACCTTGATGAGCTGCCTGGTGGTGAGCTACCTTGAGGAGCTGCCTGGAGGTGAGCTACCTTGATGAGCTGCCTGGAGGTGAGCTACCTTGATGAGCTGCCTGGTGGGTAGCTACCTTGATGTCGAGCTCCCTAGTGTAGTGCAACCCGGCTGCTCCCCACATGAGATGATCTGGCTACCAGCAACGACGGGAACTGAACTGGCTACTCCCTGCTGGCGATGATATGCTCATCTTTGTAGACGGCAGGAGCTGAGGGACCTGCAAGAACTGAATCAGAGAACTCGGGGGTGTTTACCCGGCAAGGTCACTTCGATGGCTAAGTTAGCACTTTGATAGTAGAGAGCTTGAAGATGATTATGAGAATGAGAGAGCTAGAGAGCAGGGGTTACCATCCTTTCATCCTCCTCCCCTCTTTGCCCCTGGGGGGTGAGGTCTTTATATACTGGAGTCCTCGTGGGTTAGGTGGAGCAGTTCCTGAATTCCCGTTGTGATGGGACCTGCTTTCGTGTTAGGTGGGGATAAAGCCACCAACTGGTAAGGTTGCCCATTTCCGCCTGACTCGGGGAGTGGGTGAGCTAATATAGTCGTTACAAGTCACAATCCCGTAAAATGAGGGGTACGGTGGTGAGCTCCTCGAGGTTGTCAGGTTGGCGCCTGTGTCAAGCCGCCAGGTCAGTGCCTGGGCCAGGCCGCCAGCTCGTGCCAGGGCCAGGTCGCGCCAGGGCCAGGCTTCCATCTCATGCCAAGGCCAGGTCGCGCCAGGGCCAAGCTACCAGTTCACGCCTGTGCCAGGCCGCGCCTGTGCCAGGCTGCCTAGTGGGACACCATCAACTTAGCAAAGGCAAGTTGTTGTTCGGGTGTCACCTAGTTGTTCTGAGGTGCCAGGCTACAAGAGGGTGAGCTGCCTATGGCGAGCTACTTGTGGCGAGCTGCCTGTGGCAAACTGCCTATGGCGAGCTCGAGCTGTCTAGCTGTCAAGAGGCTGCACTTAATTGGTATGATGTGCCAGGTGTCACAAGATCATTGGAGGGCCAAATCCGCCCTCATCAAGTAGGAAGTAAGAACAAAGAGAAGAGAGAAGAGAGGAGGAAGAAGAGAGAAAGAGATTTGGAGTCAAAAACCATGGCTGGTGGGGCCAGCTTCTGTTATTTATATTAGGGTGACCAGAACTATTAAAAATGTGCCCGTGGCACTAAGCTCCAGAATTTTAACAGTTTTAACAGGACCCATGTCGTCCTTATAGCTATAATCACTAGTTCATACATATTATTTTTAATAGCTGGAATCTGACCATCAACCTCAACATTGGCCTGGTCATCCCATTCTCCATGCTCGTCTTGTCCTTCCCAGTCCTCATCCATTGCTTCCTTGTCATCACCATCTTCTCCTTCAAGGCCATCTTCACCGTTGCCTTTAATAGTATCTTCATTTATGATGTTCTTACCTTTTCCCATTCGCGTACAACAGATCCTTATTAGGCTTCGGGTTCATGTTAGATCCCTCCATGCCAGTGGTGGTCTCAGCATTGGGATCAGTTTTTCCATCCTTCAAGCTATGCCCTTTTTTAACCCATCGCAAAACCCTGGTTCTCATCACAAGTAGAAATAATCATTGCATGTCCTGGGTTGAGAAATCAGGCTTGCATGGTTCCTCGAGCTCTGGCTTGCCTATTAGATCTTAACTGGGTCTAGTTTGTAGATTTACTGGGCCCATAATTCCTTCTGTTATTCAAATCACCGCCATAGGGGGTTCCCCCATTTGTAAGCTTCATATTGAATGACTTTCTTTTCCTGTTAAAAGATAAAGAGACAACTATTCTCCATAATCCACACCCCCCAAAAGCTAAAGAGACTATACTCCACGATCAACACCCAAAAATGATAGCCAACCAAATTAAGTAGACCATTCAGGTGGGTTCCAAGATCTGAAAAGTCCCTTGCTGATAGCTTAGCAAGAACCTCTCTACCTTGGGCTCACAGTCTGGGTTAACTGTATTCACGTAGTCTCTGGTATTGTTGTCTGTATTCTCAATTGCTGGATATGGTGTGGAAATAGACCTCTCAAAGAGAGATTTCCAATCCTGTTTCAGAGATATTCTCACAGGGTCAAGGGTTAGGAGATTGGAGCCCCGTTTTTAGAAGGAATCTAAATGACTGGGAAATTGAACAATGGTTGGAGCTGATGCAATTTCTGAGTGCTATCAGGGTGGACAGATCAAGAAACGACAAAAGAGTTTGTGTTTAATCTGGCTCTTTGACAGTAAAGTCTTTCTACAACAGACTTTGTTTTGAAGATGGGGTTAGCTTTCCTGTGAATAAAGTTTGAAAATCAGCAGCTCCACTCAAAGTCGCCTTTTTCACATGGATAGCATCACTGGGGAAATGTTTGACCTCTGAAAACCTGGCAAGAGAGGAAGATTGATGGAGCCTAGCAAGCGTATAATCTGGCTTCACACAGATTATTCAAGAATACTCCTTACAACTCTCTCTCTTTTTTTTTTTTGACAGCAGCAATCTTTTTCTATCTAGCTGACTAGAAGGTTATGGGATGTATATGTTTTTCTTTGTTTCCTGCTCTGTGCCTTATTGTGCAGGTCTTCGTAATTATGTTTTTCTTTACCTTTTCTCAAAAATAAAAAAGAAAAAAGAAAAGATATGGCCCCCTTCTCCTTTTCATTTGAAGGGATAAGGAGTTATGCTCATATTTCCTTCAATTCATTTAATGTTGTTTCTGATCCAAAACAAGTATTCCGTACCCGAAAACCAATGAAGGCCCATCACCCGAGCCGATACAATTTCATGATCTCAAATAAATCCATACAATCAACAATCAAGGTTTGCAGTAATGTCCAACATGTACAGAATTACTATTGATCCTAAGAAGAATATATGAAAATATGATCTCCAATTAGGCTTATCATGTGCATCCGAGAGAAGATGTTGAGAAAATTCAAAAACTTACTCTACTTATAACCACCTAGAATGCCTAGCAGATCAATCACAGTCCAAGAAACCACCTTTCCAGACATTCCCAACGAAACGAAATTAAAAAAAAAAAAAAAGAAATATAAAATACAAAACTTGCACATGTAATCTCACCGTAAAAAGAAAACATGAAACTGGCATTTTCAGCCGGTTAGGAACTAGGAAAAGAAAAGAACCACATCATATTTTGGTGTGATAAACAGAAATAAGAGAAGGAAATGCGTACCAGATTCCGGACGCCGGAGAATTGACGAAGAACAGATTCTCCGACCTCAGCTAGTTGGAAAATGTCAAAATTCAAACCAGAAGTACGAGCAAGAGAGAGACGGGAGAAAAACAAGCCGTTTGGCATCTCTGTTGGTTTAACCGTCTAAGTAAGCATTTTGTGGGTGTGTAAGAGAACCGCGAACGTTTCATTAATTGAAGACGAATTTGTATTGTAGGTGCTTGCTGCTACACGACCTCGTTGAACCTTCACACGTGGCGCAATATGCACATTTGGATTGGTATTCCAACCTGATTGACCAATCAGGTTTGGGAGGGATGACGGACCCTATTAAAGGGCGAGATACCGTTCTCGTGGCACATAGGGATGGACATTTTCTCCATCCCGTGACCCGACACGGGGATGGAGGACAAATTTTACCCCTGACATGGATCGAGGACCAAGATGGGGTTAATTTCAGGATTAGGGTTGGGGACGGGGAATATGACCCCCGCCCTGTTGCAATTCCTAGTGCACACTTTCTTCCCTTTAATTAAAGGGTAAATTTCAGAAACCTCTCTTGAAGTTTGGTAATTGTAATCTTTTCCCCTGAATTTTTTACATAATTGCAAGTAAACCTCCTCTCTTAGAATCCTCGTAAAAGAGATATCAAAATGTCTAAAATATCCATATAGTTACTTTTGAACAAAACGATTATTTTTCAAATTTTCTCTTCATATGAATGTCACTCCAAACCCTTTCAATTTTTTTTTGAAATTGATATATTTTTCAAATTTTCCCTTCGTATCAATCGCTCAAAAGTAAAGTTGTTGCAACTTTAAATTCTCTTTTTTTATTGTTCATAAAATTTGTATTGTTTTTTTTTCTTTTTATTAAAACCAGCCTCAATAGTAATTGCATGAGTATTTTGGACATTTTCATGCTTCTTTTTAAAAGATTCAAATAGAGGGGGTCTACTTTCAAAGTTCAAGTGAAGTTATTGCAATTATTAAACTTGGGAGGATTTGCAATAGCTGAAAACTTCATGAAAGGCTTCAACAATTTACTCCTAATTAAAAAGGCTAAATTTCTAAAACATCCCCTAAAGCTTTGGACTATTACTAAAACCTTCCTAAAGTTTGGTAATTGAAATCACCTCCCCTAAACTTTCTACAAAGTTGCAAGTACACCCTCTCTATTAGAATCTTCTAAAAAGAGGCATGAGAATGTCCAAAATACCCATGCAATTACCATTGAGGGTGGTTTCTATAGAAAAAACAATACAAGCTTTATAAAAGAGATAAAAAAATAAATTAAAGTTGCAACTCTACCTTTGAGGGATTCATATGAAGGGCAAATTTGAAAAATAAATCAATTTCAAAAAAGAGATTGGAAGGGTTTGGGGTAGCAATTCATATGTAAAGAATACTTGGAAAATAAACATTTTGGTCAAAGTAACTGCATGGATATTTTAGATTTTCATGCTTCTTTTTAGAGGATTCTAACAAGGGGGGTCTAATTGCAACTCTTTTCAAAAGTTCAGGGGARGTGATTTGAATTACCTACCAAACTTCAAAGGAGGTTTCAGCAACAACCAGAAACTTTAAGGGAGGTTTCAGAAATTTACTCTTAAAACATAAGAAATTTGGATTTGCTCTTCACATGGCACACCTCACAGCAACCTCATAGTGCATCACAGTTGTCATTGGGAACATCTTACCATGAATGATAACATCAAGCTTGGGAAATGATCTCAATGCATGGCTATGATGCATTGTGAGGTTGGTGTGAGCCGTGCTCGGTGAGGAACAAACCCGATCTCAAATCTCTTATTAGGAGATTTGAGCGTTTTACACATGGTAAAACCCCAAGAATTGACCCAACAAGGCACTATAGCCTCTCACATTGGAAACATTTCCCTTTCCATTTATGGGGAGATGTTTCCGATGTACAGTTGCAATGGCCGGTTGGAACATTGTTGGCACCTGTGTTGGTAGCTAATCCAAATTCTTGAGAATTAACCAACGTCACCATTGATGTTGGAGGAAAGAGGACAAGAACGTAGTATAGATTGAACAGTCGAGGACTTGTATCTAATTATGGTGACCGGTAAGTAGTGATGTGTACATGCATACATTATTTTCTAACGAGATTCTTGGTTTCATTTATCGTGTGGTGGATTTCCTGAGATTTTAGAGGGAATTCTCCTTAAACTTTCAAATGTTAATTAAGCACAGTTATGCTCTTGACACCACGTAAGATAATGTGATGACAACAATATTTGGATCAGTTTCAGAAACATCAAAATCCAAACGGATTTGAGAATCTCAGATCGGGTTAAAATTTAACGTTAGAGACGTAAAGGCATTTTCCATAGGGAAAACTGCATATTATTTGGGCCTACCATCTTTTAGCCCCCTATAAAACTGCCTATGTTAAATTTTTTGTACTAATTAGTACAAAATCATTAATTGCCATTAAGTGGCATGTGAAAGGACACAAATTAACTTAGAGTGTCATCTAATTTTTTTTATCAACCATCCAAATGCCCAAATCTCTTAGATGTTGATATTTCTTTATCAACATCATCGATGCATGTTCCATTCCTGTACTAGTCACTATAGTTTTCAAGGCGCCAAGGTGAGGCTAGGCGTTAGGGGGGTGCCTTGTCGCCTAATTGCCTAAGCGATGAATTTTTTTATATATAAAACATAGATCATAGGGTAGTTTCCTAGGTACCATAGCTCTATTTCCTTAATAATTATTCATAATTTTCATAAGAAAGGTATAGAATTCATGTTAAAGTATAGAAAATGTATTGATTAGACAAAATTTTAAGTTCTTCCTTACTTATTGGTTCAAGTTTTAAAGTCTTTGAGGGTTCAATACAGCATTTAGCAATGTTTGTATTGATTAAATCCTAACAAATAAGAAAATAATAAAAACAAATTACTATATAAACATACAAAATGAATATTTTAGTTTAATAGTGCTTATTTTATAATTATAATGTCAAAAAATAAAGAATAAAAAAGTATTTTACAATACATAGTACAAAACTGCTTGGCGGCGAGGTGACCCTCAAAGGGTGCCTAGTTGTCAAGGCGATCTAGTTGCCTAGGCATCGCCTTGACAACTATTCCAGTCACTAACGTCATTGTCGTTCAAGATGATGTTGGGCATTATGATGATTATTAATCAAAATAATAACATATATAGATATACATACAACACTCAGTGGCAAATATATACCATGGAATCATATAGCCCCACATCAATAACACAATATGAAAAAGGACAAAAAACTTGAAAAGCTTTTGCATTTTGTTGCATTAAAAATATAAAAAAAAAATGAAAAGAAGCATTGTATGACATCAAAACGAGTAATATAAAGAAGTATAAAATGTCTATCAGTTTCACTAAATTTATTTATTAATGTGTTGGATGTCTTTCATATCCATGTTTATCGGTCAACTGGTTACCAATATCAATGCTTAACCTTTTCATTGTTTCATCTCGATCACGAGCACTTAAGTTTAGTGTTTGTGTGCTTAATGATGCAATTGTATTATTGTTTCTAATAGCCTCTTTATTTTCATATATTCTGAACAATGGATATTCTTGATCAAGTAATGTCGCATGCCTAATGAAATTATGAAATGTATAGTATGCAATGACTGTGCGCCTTTGGGTGTCAATATTATAAGGCTTCATGTGGTTCAAAATTTGAAAACGTTCCTTCAACACTCCAAAGCATTGTTCTATTACATTACAAAGTGATGAATGATGAAAGTTAAACAGTTCATGAGCATCCTTAGGTTGTCATCTTATTGCCCTATATTCATTATAAAAAAAAATTACCCTTTAACAACAATCAAAAAACTGTTTCCAAACACATAAAAACTGTTACTAAACGTTTTAGTTATGATTGGAGCAATTGTTGCCTAAAGTGTTGTGGTTAAAAGTTTTAAGCAACAATCAACTGTTTCTAATAAAGACTCCTAGCAACAGTTGATAGAATTGTTGCTAAAATTAATTTTCTACAACAATGGAAAGTAACCGATGTCCAACTTATATTATTAATAACAATTAATCTTGATTGTAGCAAAAAGTGATTTTTAACTACAATTTGCTACTTATTTCTTATAGATGGCATAGAAAACAATCACACTAAGTGTTGCTAAAATATAGGCAACAATCAATCAATTGTTGAAATTATTGAATTAGCAATAACCATTACAAACCATTTTTGAATTAGCAACATGCAAATAACTATTACCAATTGCCAACAATTGTACCTCATTATTGTTTAACTACAATTATAAACGATTGTCAACACCCGTTTGGTTGTTATTAATATCTTTAATTGTTGCAAATAATATACAAGTTGTTAATTGATAATTTGATTGTATTTAAAAGTAACTTGATTTTTGCCAATAAATTATATATAATTGTAGTTAAATATTGAACAATTTTTACTAGCTTGCTTGATTGTTGTAAATGTTTACTCAAATGTAATCAATTCAAATCTAATTGTTGATAACAACTGAATTGACCTATATTCCATCCAAATAGCATATTTTACATATAAGTGATAATTCATTCATTCACTCAGCAAATCAAAATCATAGTCATCCATCACATAAATATATATTTGTTGGTTTCTAAATGATAATAAGTTCATAACACTAAATTTGTCATATAAGAAGTTCAAGTAAAAGAAACAGCACTTAAATAACGAAATGCTAAAGTATTTAAAAATATTAAAATTTCTTCTAATGAAATCTATTCTCTGAGTGTTTGATTATGAGACGCCTTGGCACCATCGTTATTATTCTCCTGCAAAAAACAAATTGTAGATAATTTTATTAAACATGACCTCAAAAAATCTAACTAATGTAAACTTTAAATAAATCTATTAATGAAAAAATTACCTCAGACTGAAATTGATCCACGTAAAACACAATCTTTCCAAACTTTCTTCAGATTTTAAAAGTTCAGATGTTGAAGACCCCAAGGAAAAAATTATAGGGAAAGACCTGCCCATTTTCCTAAGAAATTTGAACTCAAATAAGACATAAGCAAGTACAAAAATTTTAGTTCCTACCATATAAGGCTATATTTATCATCTTATATAGTCTTATATTTCTCAAAGACTCCATTTTACATGTCTAGAAAAGAAAAGATATCAATGTAATATTTACAAAAAATTAAACATCCCACTAAGCTTTTAAATTGGGAATTGTTGGACTTGAGGGCATACTATTTCACCAAGTTATTGGAGACAAGTAACACTCATATAGAACAATGCTCGTGAATCGTTGAGTTATAAGGCAAATAACACATACAAAATAGGCATTACACATTAAAGTTTTGAAAGTCCAAAAAATTCCAAAAAGTACATATGGCTTTGGTTTGCCCCGTGAAGGGGCTGCAACTAGAGCAAACCCTACTCCATTAATAGAGAACACATGGAGATATTGACCAATGCCTAAGCTGCCATAAGAAGATAAAACTCTGAAATTATTCATTTCTCTTGGCTTGACCACTAAGCACATGCAAACTCTCATGTATGTATAGCCAAAGCTAGAGCTTATTGAAGGCATATATCAAGAAATTGGTTTCAAATGGAACCATTTGAGTACTAGATAATACTAGTTGGTAAAGTTAGAAAAGAAACAAAAGCAAATTATTGAAACCACCTGTTTGAGCAGGCTGGTAAAGCCTCTATTGTGGTACATGAGACTTGGGATTAGAACTGATCTTTGTCTTCTAACAACAGGTTCAAATTCATAGTGTCGAATCCACCTGACCTGGTTATTGATCATGTCCAAAACATTGGACTTGGACCACTATCCATGGGCCTGATATGTCACAATCTAGTTTAGATGAACTCCTTCACACTCCCTTAACTGCTTAACTATTTATTAGTTTACCATGAAATTGAGTACTGCAAAAGCAAAAGAAAGAAATAAATTAAAGAGGAGAAAGGAAATGAGAGAGTTTTGTTGAGTTGTGTTTAATTTGAATCATAAGCTAACCAACTTGAAAGTTTAAACTAGACATGGCATAGATTAAAGGGATATGGCCTGCCTTTTACCAAGGGATATATATTTCTCTACACTTCCAAAAAAAGACCAAATATTGACCAAATACTGACACTGCTTGTTCATTTCTAACCATTTTTAGTGGTTGTTGACAACACAAACTGTGAAAAAAAATGGTCTTTTTGGAAAGAAAAAAATAAAGTTGCACTATTTATGGTACCTCTCTTAGTTTTCTCTCTGAGTGGTTTTATGGTTATCTTAGTTATGATAGATACATTATAATGTATGGCAGTACTCTTAAACTAATATACTCACTAATAAAAAAAGGAACAAATGATTATTCTAAGAATTGAAGAAGTAAATCCAAAAAACAAAAAGAAAGGAGAGAGAGGGAAAAGTGAAGAAGGTTATGTTAATGGACTGCCAAGGCTAAGCACGGAACAATTAATGAAGGTATATTTATTAGCATATATTCAAAAAATTAAGAGACTATTGAGTTTGCTTGAAAGAGAGGACATAAACAAAAGTAACCTTTGAGGAAGCTATTCCTCTTCTTTAAGACTAATTTCACTATATTCTAATGTGTTAATGGTGGTTTTAAGTCAAAAAATGATGCAGTCAAGACATTTCATGATAAAGTTTCAATATGGGGCTTGATGCAGCTCAATGCAACTTGGTTGTTGTTGAATGATGTAGCCATGCTATCAGCAAAAACAGGGGAAGTACTTGTTGGCATTGGTTTATAATGGGATAGTGCAAGAACTACACTCCAAATCATTGATGTTAAGGGAGAGTGCAAGAGCAGATGATTAGTAGATTATACCTCCCAAGTACAAAATACATACTCTCTCTAAAGTTGTTGACCATACAAACAATTTACATTAGAGGGACAACTTTTAAAAAAAAAAAAATGCTTTGCCTTTGGAAGGGAAAACTATATGCTCATGCTAATTAGAAATATATTATGGAGATCTATGATTGGCCCATATGGACAAGAACTTGGGAAGGGAACAATAATTCAATGAGATGCTAATACTCCATAGGCTGATGAGAGTAAAAATGATAGAAGAATCCAACCAAGGAGGAGTTAACATCTTACTTTAGTTATATTAATAGAAGTTTCTGGTTGGGCCATCTTATGTTGGTGAAAATCTTGGTGGAAACCTAAGCTTGTTGTTAAGATTGGACATATTGCACCAAGCAATGATAACTATCCTAAGTTATGTGTAATAGAAATAAATCTTAAAAGGTGTTGTATTAAAATCTGTTTTGGCGAGCAATATGTGATCCTTTAAGTGACCATGAAATTATAGTTTTGCATGTTGTTATTTGGTCCACTAGGAAAAGAGACACAAATAAAGTGATAAGCAAATCACCCACCAACAAAAATATAAAACAGCCCCAAAGTTACACCCCTCCCAAATAAAATCCTTGGATACACAAAAAGAAACAAAACACCAAAACTCTTACAATATAATTACCCTCTCACCCTCCTTAAAACCAAGCCTTCCCATCAAAATAACAAGTTATGTCTCAGAAACAAAACCCAATATCTCCAAACCCTGAACCTACTTTGTTTGTTTTTTCCTTTTTTATAATTGGACAGAACCTACTTTGATTGACACTCAACTGAAGCTATAGAAAGAACCGTGACACATTTTGTATCAGGCCTTTGAAGGAGAAGCTCTTACCATTTGTAATTAGTCTTTTTTTTTTTTTTTCGTTTCTTCACTCTCTTAACAGGACCAATACCAAAAAGATCCCCCTTCATCCGAGCAAAAACTTTAGAAGTGCTTGTGAAATTACTTGGTAATTGTGGCTCGGGCATGGTGCGGGCACAAACAAATTTAATGGTAGTCCATAATGGGCGTTGTAGGAGCTTGTGAACCTAAGAACCATTAACTCAAATAGATCATCACTTAGAAATTTATAACCCCAAAACCCTTAGTACAAGTTCTCAATTAGGTGAGATTACCTCAAAGGCAAAGGGTCGGAAGAATGCACAAGCAAGATATTGCCCGAGCCATATGGTTAAGCTTGCAAGTGGGGTTAAATCCAGAAAGGATTTACAATAATCATTGGGAGAAATTGTCAAACAGTAGTAGGATAGTGACCTATGAAATTATCCAAAAATGCAAAAAAAATAAAATAAAAGGAATTGATGAATGTGTTTCAAGTTGCTCTATCTTTAATATAGAATGCCAGGAATGAGATGCATAAACATTATAGAAACCCAAAATCAGAACAAATGTTGTTGCAAGTTGACTTGTAACTGGGGAGAAGTATCAACAAAGAAAACATTGAAGTTAAGCAAAAGCCACTTTACAAAACTAAAAAAAAAAAAAAAAATCAGGAAGGTATAGATGATAAAGTAAACGTAACTTACTTGCTTTAGCTATCCGGTAGTGGTGTTCCATTGTCCATCTAAGACTCTTAGTGGTCTTGGTCAAAAAAATGAAACCAAATCTCAAACAAAAATTGAAACTCAAAATTTACCGTTAGGAACTTAGAGAGAGAGAGAGAGAGAGAGAGAGGAACTTACGCCTCTAGGTAGTCTAAATAGTCCTTTCGTGTATTTGGCATCTCTTCTCTTCCAGATTGGGTTGCAATGGTGGCAGATTGAGCACGTTATAGAAGCAAGGGATAGGAATGAACTAGGCTCAAACGAAGGAAAGAGAGGAGAGAGAGAGAGAGAGAGCTTGGGAGGCTCAAAAGAATGGGGGAGGAAGAGAGGGAGAGTGATAGTCTTAGAGAGTTATAGAAAGCTTGAAAAGGCTAAAAGCCTAAAACGAGAAGAGAGAGGGAGATGGTGAGTTTGAGCGATAGGAATTAGGGGGCTTCAAAAAAAGAGGGAAGGGAATTTAGAAACCGTGCAAGTTGCCCGCTCACAATATTTTATTTTTCGATTTTTTATTTTATCTGTGTAAATCCATCAGTATAAGATAATAAGGGAGCTTCACCAATGCTAGTGTTGTAAACGGATCGGATTTAGCAAAACTGATCCGATTATTCAACAATAACATTCAAATCCAATTAGATTGAAGATCTCATATTCAAAAATCATATTTTTGACAATTTCAAATATAATCACATAAATTTTATATATAAAAAATAACAAATACTATAATATAATCAGATTCGGATTTTAATCAAATTGAATGGGTTTTAGTACAAACCCTTTGCATAAGTGAAGGTGTCCATTATTATATGTTATTTTTCTTGTAGGGAAAATGACTAGTACATTTAATTAGCAACATTTATTTTACACTTCTTGCCTAAAATTGTGAATGGATATCCATTCTGCTTGGGTCATGGGCCATCGGTTCAAACGACTAGGTTGAACCAGTTTGATAGGTTATCATCCTATCCTATTATATTTTTTATTTTCTTTTTAATTTTTATATTAAAAATTAATATTTTGGGCCAAAAATGCATTTTTGAAAAAAAAAAAAAAAAAACAGCGAGGAAAGACAACTTTAGTGAAGCATAGGTAGCAAAACGTTACTCAACATATAAAAAAACTAAAAGAAAAGATCATCCCAATCAAACCATATCGCACAAAGTTACTAGAAGTTTAAAAAAATGATAAAAACTGGCCAATTTTATGAAACTGATAGTAGTTCATCGGTTACCCAATTATGGTAATTTTTCTAAAACCCATTTTTTAGAGCCAAGCTGAATTGGTTGTTGGACCAATTCATGAATTTTCAAGTCCAACCAACTAGTTGGTTCTGGTTCTTTAAACACTTCCATTGGTATTTCAGCATTGAAATATCTATATATTTAGGATTAAATAAAGGTGTATATATTGTATCAATATTTTAAACCATTGTTGACCTTAGATGGTTTAACCATCCAACCCCAGAACTAATCACAATTCTTGTTCCATTTATACTACAAGCATAATGTTATTAGGAAAAAAAAATGAAATGGTCAATAAACCATTGACCCAACTATTCAAACCATTGAAATGTTCAACCCAAATAGAGGTTCACATGCTGACTAATATAAAACATAACTTAACTTAATGTATTAAAAAATAATAAAAATAGGGAAAACAATGCTTTTAGAAAGGCATGAAACTGAAAGGGATTTGACCAATCAAAACCTTCTATGAATATTTGATACATAACCAATTATTTGGTTAGAAGTTTCTTTGGTATTATAGTCGAGCTCTAAAAATAGAAATTATATTTGTCATAAATGGTAAAACTAAAACCTTGAAAACATTGGGGTTTCTTCTTTTTTTGCATTTTTCTATATATTTTTTTTAAATCACTACCATTCAATTTAAATATTTAGTAGTTTTTACATAGTTTTCTTCCTATTTTTAAATTTTCCTAATTTCATCAACGTGGTTCAACTACTAGCTTGTGACTGAAAGGCCATGGTTCCATTTCCAAGTAACTTTTTTGAACATTGCTCTATATGGAACTAATCAAGTCAAATTTGACATAACACTTCATATTGAATTAGGTTTGAGTTAAGCCAAATTTGTACCAAACTTGATAATAATATCCTTACTCCTAATTTAAGCCAATCCAATAAAAAGTATAAAACAAGTCTAGAGGCATCTTTTTTTTTTGTGGCGGTCAAATAATTGAGTTAATACCATCCATTAAATTGTATTTTTGTGATGTAAATTCTATATCTCTTTAACTACAATTTTTCTATAGTTGTTGCTAAAGTCAATACAATTAGCAACAATTAATTGTGACACAGTTAGATAATACTTGTTGCCAATATATTGGTTTAGCAACAGTGTTAATCAATTGTTGTTAAAAAGTTACTTTTGACAACAACTATTTACAACTGTAAGGTAATGACTATTGCTAACTTGGTTCAAAGTATCGATACGAGGCATGTCGTATCGTATTTTTTGAAAAAGATACAGTTCAGACCCCCAATTTTTTTAATAATAAAAAGCATGCTAAAAGCTTCCCAAAAAAACAAAATGTGAAAAAAAAAAGTAAAAATAAAATAAAGTTTCGATTGTTTCTAAGTACCGATACGATACAACCGAAACTCGTATTGTATCGATACTTTGAACCTTGATTGCTAAAGGTCAACTTTCTTGTAGTGATTCTTGCAAATGATAATGATCACCTTTAAATGGGGTAAGAAATCCTAGAATGGTGGTGAATCCTGAATCTGCTACTTACATAAAACACAATAAATGCAGATATATAAAATTACACAGTATTTTGAACATCAAATTATTTTCATACCACTTGGAGGCATAAGAAACTTTAGTTCAAGCCTTGTTAATGCTTTCGTCAAAATTCTAGAGTCATTTRTTGTCCCCTCCCATCCAGCATATATACAAACGTGGAATGTAAGTCAAAAGAGCAAGTGCATGACACGTTTTGTTTTGTTATGATCTTTTGACCACGATATGGGATTTATTGGTCAATTGGAACATAAGCAATGATGTGTTYCATCAATAGTACTAATACAATCCTATTTTACATAAAAATATTAGGATCTTTTATTAACAAATATAACAAAATTAACAATGAACAAATATTAAAAATTGATACCTTAAAATATAGAAAATATCTTGAATCCCATGCTATTTTTGGCACAACACCTTCATATTGGATTGGAACAATAATCTCATGACCTAATTTAAGAATAGCCTTCAACATCCTTTTAAAGCGGTGATGAATAGTTTCTTTAGAGTCTTAGAAGATTTTTACCTACCATCCTATTTGATAAAGTTTGTGCCAAGATTATAACAAATATGCCTAATTATTATTCTACAGAGAAATTCCTCATATCTTCAGCCCATCCATTCTATCTTAAAATTGAAAAGAGATTGCGAAACACATGTGCTTAATCAGAAAAACATCAATAGGTGGTCTTTCATGCCCATTAAGATATCTCGCATGAATTTGAATCTCCTATCTCTATCAGACCTTTTAACTTGTCTATTATAGATCTATCAGATGTCATTCTCATATAACAAAGCATCATAAATTGCACTTTTCTTATATTCCAATCATCACTTGCTCCATCACTATTATAATTAATTATTCATTCATCGTTAAATTTTCCATTATGATTCATCATGTTAAATCACATCCTACCATTATATATTGTTCAACAAGATACTATATAGTTTTTAACAATACTAAATAAAATTAAAATATGATATTCACTAGACAATATCCATAAATTGAAATATAATGTTTGACAACAAGCTAAGCAAAACTAAAATCTAGTATTCAACATAATAGTAAACAAAATATGGTGAAACATATTAAGCCATCCCATCATTATGGCTTCCTTGCAGGTTCAATCATATGACTCATTAACTTCGCAGGAACTTAGTAGATGACTTCTCTCCAATGTGAATGCATGCATAAATTCATTGCCTTCCCATATAACTTTGGATTTAAATTCGATACACCATTTAAAACCTCAATACAATTACTAAGTGGATATGGCTTAGGTAGTGGAATTGATGGCATATTCTTTTTATGATCATTATTCATATGGTACATTGACTCCACAGTTAATGCCTTACAAGTTTCACCAAAAGCCTTCAAATTGTTGACTTGTTCTTTCGGACTTTTGAGGTAATAATTTTCTCTAGAGATATTGGTCTCTTCCCTCTATTATAATTATTTGTTGCATCTAATGTAAGCATGGGATTTGGGGAACCCAACCTAGTATGTCTAGTTTGGTATTCACTAGAATCCGATAAAGAGTTAATACTCTCTGCATTAGGAGTGTCTTTATCTTATTACCTAGAAGATCTTTCATGATCACCAGATGCAGTGGCGTTACTCAAAATTGTGCAAAACTTATCCCATAATGGGCATCCAATTGTTCGTAAATTTTTCAAATTAGGATGATTCTGTATGGATTAATGCAATTACATAAATTATATATTTAACCCACTAATACTTTATAAAAATTGAAACACAATACACATATGACTCACTCTTTCATAGGACTCCCATACATCATCATCTATTAAGATAATCTTCTTAGATGGATTCATACTAAAACATGTTTGCTTGCATGCATTCTTGAATTCCTTATAAACGCTTCGTAATTTTTGAAATTTGTTCTTCAATTGCATATCTTTATAGTTGCACCCTGTTTTCCTATTGAAATCCCTCTAGATTTCTTTCCAACTAATAGAGGTAAAGGTAGTAGTTTTCCTATTACCCTTTTTGCACTTCTCTACCATTAATTCAACAAATATCCTTTCCTCCTTTCTTGACCATTTTGCATTATCTTCTGTATCTTTAGATGTGCTATGTGACATATCTATAATAAAACAAATAAAAAGTTTGCATTGCTATGTGACATATCTATTATACAAAAATGCATCCATACTACTTGCTTACAAGAAAATTTAAAGATAAATAATTCATCCCAATATACAAGCAAAAATAACTATGAACATAGTCTTATTGAATTAAGATGCATTTGATAACACTATATGCCATTAAAAAGAAACAATTTTAGACAAAAAACGGAGACACCAAGCTTCTTATACTACTAATAGAATGCACACATTCATGGTCAATTCCCTCTAGGTTCTTCCATGTGCAGATACATTAACAAATTTATTGTACAGTTGCAAGAATTAATTCCTTCTAGGATCATGCATTCCTTTTTAATCATGCAACTAACTTAGTTGGTCATAATGTTCTTATCTCTTTCCTACACTTCTCAAACTTCTACTGAGATACTAACAAGTCCCAAAGCCTTTCCTACCACAAATTTTTTTTCCTACACTTCTCTTCTTCCTACCACTAGTTAAAAGAAAGGCTAACAGACCAGCTCTTTCATCTTTTAGTTTATAGATTATGTGGAGTCTCTTTGA